AATAAATAAAAGATTAAAATAAAATTAAACAGATTGGAAAGCATAAAATTCTTTTCTTTTTTCAAAATTTTATTGATAAACAGATAGCAATGAGACAGTTTCAAATCAAATAGGAAGTACAGATTCAACAAATAACACACTGCATATATTCTTCTTAGTGGTTAATTGCTGTACAAGATGAGGACTTGAGATCCTATTTACAAACACCATTAGAACAAACCATTCTATTCATTAAGAGAATGCAACTATATATCTATCCCAACCACTTTGAATACACAGATATAAAATGGACATTCATCGGTATACCCCATTTTTTCTAAGTTCCGTTATTGAATATTATAGGTGTGTAAACTCAGCAAAATATTCTAAAAGAGTCCAGTAGCCCATAATAGCATTGGGTCTTCTGTTCAACTGGCAATGTCAGAAATTATTGACCTGAGTCCCCCATAGCTCAACATAACAGCATGGCTTTACTTCCTATATTTCGTCTTCATACTTTTCTAGTGGATGGTTAAGACCAAGGTAAAGCAGTACCTGTGCAACAAGAGTTGTAGCTTTTTGGTCTGAGAAGGTCAGTGAAATCCCCTCAGGATTTATCCTGAGATCCTGTACCTCAGATTGTAGAACCTTTGTCAGTGTCAGCCATGTGGATGAGGCACGGCCATTGCTTGGCCAATGTGCTCTCTGTGAAAGCCTGAGAGAGTGTTTTCTCTCCATGTGACTCTCCTTAGGCACACTCTACATCATCAATCACTTTCTTCTTTGGCCCCATTATCTTCTTGATCAGAAAATTTGGGACACTACCGAGGTACATGACGTTACAGTACAAGTTCTCATATGTCCTGAGTCTTAATTGACCTTTGAAAGCTAGGGCCAAAATGTTGGCTTTCCTTGTAGCCCTCCTTTTTCTCTAATTTTGGTCTGCAAACTTAGGTTGTTAACCATCCAGAAGACAAGCTTATTGTTATTATCAAACGATTTAAGCTATTAAGCTTAACCTCACTATCTCACTGCATTTCAAACGTCTTAGGCATAAAAAGGAACCGATATTTTTTATCAAGTATTGATATGTTGAACTTTAAGTCCCTACATAATATGATAAAAAAACATTTAAAAATTAGATTATATTTTAAAAATAGGATAAAGAATTATATACTTCTCATGTTTGCACATAAGTCCAAAAATCTCACCATATACAACCTTGAAGCAGGACCCTCCCACAATATTCCTTTGGAAAGCATAAAACTCTTGACAGGTCTTCCACTTCCCCCTTTTCCTTTCTTTTATTCCACTTACACATTCTCACTCAATTCATCCTTTAAAGCAATTTCTTTATGCAAAATTAATGTCATGCTACTCAGTGCTAAAATATCGAGAGTAACTCTCTCTACCATAAAGAAATAAACCTCTACTCAGTCTAAAATTTAAAGCTGCCCGTAATCTAAAGTCGTTTTGTTGGCAGTTTTCTTTCTCTACACATCCTCTGGTCCACTAGAATAGAACAGCATGAATGCTAAGTTGGCCCTGAACAAATACTCCCACCTACCTTGTGGTTTCATCAGGCTGACTTCTATGATATAAAACCAAATTCAGACTCCACACTTCAAGTGTTCCTGCCCCCTCCATGTCAAAGACATCTGTCTGCCTTTTCTAAAGTCTCATGCTGCCCACTCGCTGGGGTAGGCTTTACCCCACTCAACTTTCTGGTGCACACGAATGCTCTTTCCCAGGCTAAATGGTACAAGTATTCAGAATAAGGACTGTGCTTTACCCTTAGTATTTTAGCATCACTGAGAGCTACGTCTCTTCAATAACACCTCCAAAGTTGACACTCAATAAATAATTAACTGAACCCTTAAGCGTCATGTTTTTATGAATTTTAGAAAACCTACACAAAAAAAATATAATACTATATATTTGGTGTTCTTTATGGTTGCAGTTAAAGAATAAAATAGAAAGCAAATCTTTGCATTGACTATAACAGAAACAACAAAAACAAGTTTACCTATTTTTCAGTCTTCCTATTGCTGAAAATGTCCTTTTCTCATTGAATGTGTTTAGATGGAGCATTTAAAAAGTTTGTCCAAAACTTGTAAGGCAATCATGGCTTGCCTCTGGCAGAAATAACGCGTCTTCCTGCTTCCCTTTGTAAATAATTGAATTTGCCTCTGAAGTTCAAGAAGTTCAAGATTTCTTTTCATGTGTGAAACTGACTGCTTCTGTTTTCTTTTTATATGCAGCAGAGTATAATATAAGACAGAAGAAACGCCGTGCAACTGGGATTTGCTGAGCGGGGAGGATAATAGGAAAGATTGACATGACTTCCATAGAAGAGTTATTTTTAAGTATAGAGAATGCTTATCCCCACACTGAAAGGGGCTTTAGAACATTTTCTCGGGGCGGAGAAGCGGAGGGAGTGCCGGGAACGGGGAGAGCGCGGCTGACTGCAGGCTGCTGCTGCCACCTGCTGCACACACGCGGCCACGGAGGACGGGCGGTGGCCTGGCCTCGCAGCCTGAGGATTCCCGAGGCATCCAGTGAACATTCAGAGGGCATCTGGCAGGCCTAGGTGTATCCTAAGGAAAATTAGTCAAATCGAAAGTCTTGAGGCCCCGGAAGTTTTTAGACATAAACCCAGGAACCTGAAAAACAACTAGAGAGGGCAGATTTGCCCAGCAGCCACTGAACACTTGCAACAATCCAAACCCAGAGAGACTCAAGGATTCTACTATCAGTGTGTCTGTAGGTCATGAAAATAAATGACAGCCTTTCTTCTATGAGGCTTTTGAAGCACTGCTTCCCTCTTATGCAGTAGGAGAAAGGAGACATGCAAATACTCCAAGGGCAGGGTTCTAAAAGAATTCAGGGAGCTTCGATTTTGGTTGATTTTCTAGTTAGGTAAATTCTTCTTACAGTGACAAATGGATGCAAGGCACAAGAGGCCCTTCTCCAGGGTTGCAAAGTACCCTAATCCGTTGTAAGTGCCTCCATACAGACCAGGGGCTGCAGAGGACATCTCCTGCCCTTGCCGTAATGCTTCAGCGCTTTGACTTGCCGCGATTTCCAGAGGGAAAAGAAAGTGATGAGAGCCTCTGGAGTAGGGACACCATGCAAGGACTGAGCTTGCAAACCCTGCCCAGAAATTAGTCACTCACAGCACCACCCAACCAAGCATCCCTAGTAAAATTTAGAGGAAGGAAGGTCAGCCAGATAGCTCAGTGGACTAAAGCACCTGCTTAGGCAGGTGCAGGGACCTAGGTTCAATCCCACATATAGTACTGGCCCTGGAGCATGCTGAGACAGCCACTGAGACTGGGCATGGTGCTGCGTGCCTATAATCCCAGAGTTTGGGAGGCTGAAAACAAGAGAATCACTATGATCCTGATCTGTATAGGGAGACCCTGTCAACCCTGTACTAAATACATTTTTAAAAAATTTATAGGAAGGCAAGTGGTAAATATAAGGTTTGGAAAGGCCTGGACTAGAAAACAGGTAGCTACCTTCTGGCTCTTGTAGGCAACAAACATCATGAACAGAGTGGCATTAAGGATGATAATTGTCCTAACAAGTCATGGCAACAGTGGCATAGGTGGCTGTGTGGACATCCAGAGAGATGGTAGCCCTTGACTACTCCCACACAAATCTCTCTTCTGGCTTAATTCTAATCACTAAATGTAAAGAATGATTCCTTTTGTCTTAGCATCATCCATAAGCCCCCTAAATCTTTGCATGGAGAGATCAGTACATACATAATAACAAGCTGACACAATTATATCCACTAACCTCATAATTGTCACATCATAAATAATTCAACTTTCTCATGAGTTTCTGGTCTTGCTAGGTAGTTCTTATATTCCTGTAGAGAGATTGGTGTCACAGCATAGCTCATCAATAGTCCTCATAATTATGTATTTACTGTTATTCCTTTTTATTAAACCTTTACTGTAGACCTTAGGCCTAATGTGCATTTTTCTAAGTTGAAGCATGAAGATAGCCTATTTTATCCCAAGATGGGAAAGACAAGGGAAAGAATTTTCATCCTGTACTTTCGTGAATAATCAGACATTTTTACTAGGGGTCTTGTCTGTGAAACTCTATAATGGTCCTCTAAATCAGTCAATGTTTTTGTTTTGTTTTGTTTGGGGGGTATACCAGGGACTGAATGCAGGACCTTGCCATTCCCAGGCAGGTACTTCTGCCACCAAGCTATCTTTCCAGCCCCCAATCATGGTCCTCTAAAGGGAAGCAGCTGGGTGGTAGAATTGGCTTGGTAGCTGGGGGAAGTGGGAGACTCTCTGACTTTGGGTTCATCAGCACAAAGGCCCCCACCATCTAAGTGAGAGACTTTCTTGTTGGGCCTCCATCTTACCCCAGGCATGTGACAAGGAGTCCTTATTTCATCTGTCCCAGAAAATATGGACTTCTCTGCAAGAGGAGAGACAGTAAAATTCATACAACTGAATTACTATCCCTGTTCATTTTCAGATTTTTATCAAAATTTAATGTGTTCTTTCTTTGTTCTTTCCCACTGCAGAAATCTGGAAAATAAAGTATTTCTTAAGCTTGAACAGGAAACTATTAGGAAAGACATTACATTCATATTTCTTAAATAACTTAGTGCTTTTGGAGGGAAAAAAAAGTGTAAAAGGTACATTGGTAACCTCTCTGCATGCTTTCCTTTGTTTGGATTTTAGATACAGCTTGCTTGATTGTCAGAGGGTTCCTGAAAGAGAGAATCTGTGGATTCAGAAAAGTTTTCTGAAGAAGGTAACACACAAGATTTCAGAGAACTGTTTCAGCATTGTTCTATTGAATGTTTCACTTAGCCCTGAACCACACTGCCTTCCTGCCTGTGTTCCATTTCCTGGAAACTCACCACACAGCACAGAGACCCAGGCCTGTGGTAGAGTTGGGGTTTTAAGCTCACGTCGTGTGGGCGGAGCTTCCTTGGTCATAACCAGCCGTCTATTGACTTTTGTGATCTTTACGGAAATGCTAGTGTCAGCTCTTCGGGCAATGATGGAGAAGAAATGGACACTTTGTGCTGTCTACATCATCCAGATACAGCTTGTCAGGGGTAAGACTTCCAGTTGTCCTTTCTTGTTGGATTGCTTGCTGTCTGGGCTGCTGTTCATTTAACAAGCCTCCTGATTTTTGCTGAATTTGATTACAAAAGAGCCAAGAGTTACGAAGGTTTTCAGTTAGGTATTTAAAGACTCAATATCAAAGAGATGTTAGAGTCTAGAAAAGATTACTAATGAACATTTAAAAAAAAGAACAGAATGTGTGACTTGTGTATTTTCACCTGTTTCCCTCTTACATGGACATTTGGGCTACTTAGCAAATTGTGTTTCTTGGGAACAACATGAAATGCTCTCCAAATGGTGGTCAAAATAACTCCAAAAAACTAAAAAGAAACACAAAGCCATTGTCCATGCTCAGAATTCCTTGCTCAGCTTTTCTCCTTCTCTCAAGCATGCTTTTCCTTTTGGTCACAGCAAATGTTTCTCTTCAAAATGGATGTTTGCTGAATTTCACTCAGCCACATGTAGGAGTGGCTTGGGGAGACAAGAGGGAATCTTTGTCTGACAGCGGAAATCAAAATCTAATGAACCCACTGAAAAATGGAGAGATTAGTTGTGCCTGCTATAGTATGAAGTATTATAGTAAGCCTCAGTGTCTTGGGGATTAACTGTGCCTTTTCGGTGAGTATATGAAGATTTCAAGAATTTCTAACTCAAAGGAGACTGGAATATAACGCTATAGGTGTATTATTAAAGAGTGGCTCATAGAACGTTACATTTAACAGTACCAACTGCTGTCTGCCAAAATTCTTCTCATCCACAAAACAGATCCCACTTGTCAAATACCTTCAAAGGCCTTTCTTCTTTTCAGTTGTTTGTCATCTTTATTTTTTCTACTGTGAATTTCTATAGAACTCATTACTATAATATATAATTTCTATAACGGTATTCCAAAACAATTCTAAATTGAAGCCCACCTTACCAAACACATATCAAAGAATCAGTGTTTTAGATCTTTCAAGAGCTCTGGACCATTTGGTCAGGTTGGTAGTGGGAGAGGAAGTCTTCCATGCCCAGTTGTTCATGGTGATGATTAGAGAGCATGCCATGTGAAAGCTCTTCTGGAGGCGTCCTCTGTCCTTCTCCCCTCCAGAGTCTACACCACAAGAAAGGTGAAAGTCTTTCCATCCTCCTGTAGGGAATGTCTGTTTTCTTACCCTACTTCAAAAGACAAAATTTGGGAAAAAAACAAAATGTTAGCACTTTGGGGAGGATGAAGATTGTAGAAAGAAAATAGAAAAGAGAAAGAAAGAAGAAAGAAAGAAAGAAAGAAAGAAAGAAAGAAAGAAAGAAAGAAAGAAAGAAAGAAAGAAAGAGGAAAGAAAGAAAGAAAGAAAGAAAGAAAGAAAGAAAGAAAGAAAGAAAGAAAGAAAGAAAGAAAGAAAGAAAGAAGAAAGAAAGAAAGAAAATAGACCTTGGCAACCAAATGTGTGTTCTTGTCCTGGAGATGAGACAAAACACACTTTATCCCTTTGGGCTTTAGTTTCCTCTCTGACAAAGATGCTCAACAATATCACTGTTTATCAAGGAGATATAGGGGGGTTAGAATAGAATGTAGATCTAAGCTTCTTAAAAAATGTATTTTGAATCACTATGCACACATTAGTTATATCACCTATGTGTTAGATAAAGCTATTGGTTTATAACCCAGACTAGGTCAATTATATTAAATATAAGACTATAACCTCATGTTCTTCAGTTTTCAAATAAGTTTAAATTTTTTGACAGGTAGTCAGAAATCCTAAATTATTTTTTTGGAAAGACCAAGAGACAAAGAGAAATGTGCATATATCAATAGTTTCCTGTATTTTTCCTCAGTAAATGCCTTCTCCTTTGTATTGGGTTTTATTGGGAGAAGGTCCTTAATAGTTCTCTCATCTCACTGCAGTGACCAAGGTTAAGAGTCACTCCAGGTGAATTACAAGAACTAATGGCTCACATGTTCCCTTTTTAGGAATACAGGAAGACATATCCAGTGGAAGAGAAAACATGTATGCCCTGCCTGGCTCTGACATCAACCTGACATGCCAGCTACAGAAGAGAAGCTACCTGGTGCAGGCGCAGTGGTCCAAAGTCACTCACAAGCTGGACCCAATTGCCATTTATCACCCCCAGCATGGCTTTCACTGTACCAATGCGAGTTCCTGTGAGTCCTTGGTGACTTTCCTACAAACTCCTAGAGGTGTGACAAAGTGGACTCTGCACCTAAGGAATATCTCCTCATCACTCAGTGGAAAGTACAAGTGTAGCTTTACTCTGTACCCAGATGGCATTCGTACTAGAACCTATAACCTTCTCATCCCGGCACCTGGTGAGCACGCTGGTGGAGGGAGGGAAGCTCGTAGCTTATCTCTGCTCTCATCCACCCAAGAAATATGTGTTCTGCACCAACTGTGTGCTCGATATGGTGTCACTTTGGAACAGACATAGAAACCAGGCAAGTGTGTATAAAATTCCAAGTGTTAGTAACAAGAACTATGACAGTTCTGTGAAAGAGCATTTAATAGTGTTCAGGAAAACTGTCCTTTTTTTTTTTTTTTTTTTTTTTTTTTGGTGGAACCAGGGATTGAACTCAGGCCTTTGCGCTTGCCAGGCAAGCACTTATTCTACTGAGCTATCTCCCCGGCCCAAAACTGTCCTTGAAAGAGAAACACAGGAACTGATGCCTGAAGAATGAATAGTTAATTTAGGAAGGGTCAGATCTTGTAAGTAGTCCAGATAAAGGAAACAGCTCTATGAAGAGCTTCGGGAAGTCAAAGGAAATGAGAAAACGCCGGTGGGCTCATGGTGCAGAGATAAGTGGATGAGGCTGAAGATATGGGGGCCTTGTCTGTCATGTTCAAGTCTTTGATATCTATCTAAGGACTATGAAAGGTATTGAAGCACTTCCAACAAAAGGAAGACATGACATTTATAGCATGACTTTCTCTTATAAAACTATGACAATGGCTTCAGTGTGAAAATGGTATAAAAGTAGACAAAAAGAGAAAATGGGAATAAGTGAGGAGACCATCCCAGTAGTTCAGAAGAGAAAGAGGGGAATGAAAAAAGCATTATAGAAAGAAAATTACATGATTTACGGATGGGGCATAAAATATAGCAATAACATTGCCATAGGGTGGAAATAGGGCAAAAGTATTATGGGAGTAGAGAGAAAACTTGAAGGTGGCATCGAGGCCTATCCACTTACATAGTTATGCCAGTCATTGGGCTGGAAGAAAGAGGAAGTGGACTGGCTTGTGAGTGAGTTTGTGAAATCAGTTCTGAATATTTAGCACAGGACAGGTAAAGGGGGCGAGGAGGCTACTGGACATGTTGCTTTTGTAGCATGCACATGTCAGTGGCTTGGATTAGGAGGCAAAAATCCTAGATTTAACCTTCAGAATTTTTATATTAGAAATGATTTGATTTGAGAGCTTTCATGTAAATTATTTGAGCCCCTTAGATAACAGTGCTAATAATATTTACCCTAAATTACCTGGTCCTAAAATAAATGATTTCCATTTCTACTAATGAAAAAAATGAAAACGGAAGTCAACAAATGGGAAATGCACTGGAAATGGAAAGTTTTAAACTCAGGGACCAAGTAACACAGTGAGGGGGGGGTACTTCATGATGCCCATGCTAAAGGAGGCGTGGTGCTGTCTAGGACAAGCAACAGGTACAGTTTTATTATCTCCTCTGTCTCTTACCCCTCAGCTACAGCAAAACTATAACACTGGGAAACTCCATTTGGAGACTGAGATACTATGCATGCCTTATTATTCCCTTCCTGTTTTCTGGAAACTGAACCCCTCCCCCTCAAAAAAAAAAAAAAAAAAAGAAAGCAAAACAAAACTTAAGTTCAGTGGGATAGGGTAGGTAAGGTAGGGCTGAAATAAAGAGAAACAGAAGACCTGTGTAGAGCAACATTTAGCTGCACATACTTTAAAGTTAGGAAACATAGGTCTGAACATTGACTCTGTCACTTACTCTATACATCATCATTGCCAAGGTACTACACATCTTTAAGACTTTGCTTCCTTACATAACAAGTGCACACAATGAGCATCCCCCTTTCATGGGTACTAACATTTTAAGAATCAAATCAGATCATCTGAAAAAAGCTTTTAGCATAGACCCTGCCAAAGGTAAGAATTCAGTACGTGCAGCCATGCTGACTGAGGTAAATTCTCTGTGTATTTTTAACTTGGCATCCGCTTCCTTTTCCATTTTCACTGGATGGTGTTTCTTCCTACAATTGGAGCTGTTGAATTATTCGAAGAAGCAGCTCTCATTGTTGAGCCTTGGATTATTCTAATTCTAAAGCATCTCTTTAATTGGAGTGCTACCAGGTCCCTGTTATACTTCAGATTACAGGATTTTAGTGAGTACCTATGTACTGGCCAGCACCACAATTATCAACTCGTATACAGATTCGCTTTATTTAATTCCTTATCAATTGCCCACCGCCCACTAAAGGTAGTAAAGAGACTTCATTTTGGTATCAACCTTTAAAATATATGAATGTGGCAAAAAAACAGCCATAATGCCTCCCCAGATTTACAAAATTAGTAAGTCCTTAATATCACCAAGTATCTCATCAGCCTCCTTTTTTTTACATTGTTTAAAATATGATCCAAATACATTTGATAGATTATGATTATTTGATAAATCCCTATTAATCTAAAAGCTCTCTTATTCGTTTTTCTTTACAATGCCTTTATAGAATAAATTTGATCATGTCATATAGCTCTATCGAGAGCTGGAATTTTGTTCTTATATTCTTATGTGTTGCCATGCTCTTTCACTTTACAGAGAGTATTGCTATTTGATCACATGGATGTTTTTGTTTTAATGTTTAATATTTTGGCAAGAGTACATGAGAGGCACATAATGTCTGGTCATGTAATATTAACAGTCACTGAGAGTTATTATCTAGATGTATTAAATCATTATGATTTGACAAATAGTATATTCTAGCTTTTTTTTTTTTTTTGGCTGCCTATGCCCTCCTTAAGAGCAGGTCTGGTATGGCATATGGTGCTGGGGATCGAAACACAGTCCCCTGCACCTGACTGAGTTTGACCAAGCAGGTGCTTTAAACAACTCAGCTATCCTGCCAGCCCCCTTAGTATTCTAATTCTGTCATTTTTAGTTTATTAGCCAATGTATCTATAAAGATAAACTCCCTCTCATCACCTTTAGTGCTTATTATATGTATACTTTATATAAGAAAGCAGAACAGGCATGCATGAAACCCTAGATTTGATCTCCAGGAATGCACAGAAAACAATGTGAAGGCAAGAAAAATCGAATGTGTGCTTAATTCTTTCTTTATTTATCACTTTTTAAAATGATTTGAAACAGCCAGGCATGGTGACGCATGCCTCAGGAGGCTGAGGTAGGAGAACCATCGCAATTTCAAGGCCGGCCTGAGCTACACAGTGAGCACAAGGCCAGCCTGAACTACACAGTGAGGTTGTCTCACAAAGACCAAAATAATAATAATAATCATAATAATAATCATAATAATCATAATTATTATTATGATGATTATTATTATTATTTATGGGCCGGCCAAATAGCTCAGCAGATTAAAGCTCCTGCAAGCAGGCACAGGGGCTGGGGGCTCAATTCCCGGGGCCTGCCATGTCAGCCCGCCCCTCAAGGTGCGCCAAGAAGGTGGTTGAGTCTGGGCGTGGTGGCATGAGCTTGTAATCCCAGCACTTGGGAAGCTGTAAAGAGGAGAATCACTATGAACCCGATCTCGTAGTGAGAACCTAAATACCCTGTAGACCCTTCCCTAAAATACAGGAAAAAAATATTATTTATTATTATTTTTTGGTTCTCTAGCATTTTTAGTTGTTCTTAAGTGTTTGATGCTGATTATCTGAATTCATATAAACAAACATATGAATGAGGTCATCATACTTATTATCCTTACTACGCTCAGAATTTCCTAGGCATAAATGCTACTAACCTTTGTGGCATAAGTTGCAAATATTTCCCCAGTTTGTCATCTATCCTTACTTCACAATATTGCTTCCAGTGCAGAATAATTCTTTCTGTTACAAAATACAATCACTCTTCTCACTTACTGCTTTTATTTTTCTGTTTTTCTATTTGGGTTCTGAGGACTGAAGGCAAGACCTCCTGCTTTGATTGATTTAAGTCACAGCTTAGAAAGGATTTCCCTTTTCCAGATTTCATAGAAATTTTCTCTTATTTTTAATACTTACATGGTTTCTTTTGTATTTTTCTAATTTTTACACATTTTTATTACTGCATGTTGGTTATACAGATAAATAGGTTTCGTTTTAGCAAGCATGTACATGCACATAACGCAGTACCGTTTACACACCCTATTAACCTCCAAACCCCATCTTCCTGCTCACCAACTTCATTTTCAAAAGATGTGAGTTAGTGTGCACAATGTTTTTTTTTTTAATTTTATTATACCCCTTGTTGCTCTTACTTGTTTCTCTTTCTCCTTCCTTTCCTCCTATCTGGTAATAGTCTCCTTTCCACTTTCTTGTCATCTTTTTTGTATTCCACATGCTAGAGAGAACATACTATATTTCTCTTTCTGGATCTAGTTTCTTTCGCTCGGAATGATAATCTTCAGATCTATCCATTTTCTTTCTAAGGACAGCACTCCACAGCTTGTCTGTGCATGTGTTGGGGAGTACTTAGACCCAGTCTGGTGTGTGTTTTGGCCATTGCACATGGTGCTGTAACCTAGACGGCTGTCTAGTATCTCTAGCTTTGATTCCTTGGTGTATATACCAAACAGTGAGCAGCTGCATTGCATGGTAGTTCTAACTTTAGTTATTTGCAGAAACGTCATATTGATTTCTATGGTCGCTGTACTATTTGCATTCCCACCAGCAGCGTAGAGAGCTTCTTTTTACTGCATCTTAACTAGAATTTATACTTTCTTCTTTTCTTTCTTTCTTCTTACTGTATGTGTTCTTGAAGATAGCCATTCTGACTGAGGTAATTTCTCAATGTATTTTTAATTTGTGTTCCTCTAATGGGTACGGATATTGAATTTTTTACATAATTGTGAGCCATTTGGATTCTTCTGAAAATTTCTGTTCAAATCCATTGAGCATTTATTCATTAAGATGTTTAGTATTTGGTGTCAAGTTTTGAGCCCCATATATATCTTAGATATAAATCCTCTGTTGGAAGAGTAGCTGGTAAAGAGTTTTTCTCATTGTGTAGGTTGTCTCTTCACTCTGTTTGTTTACTTATATTTATTTTCTTCACATACCTTCTTAATTTGATGTAGTCCTATTTATTGATTCTCACTATTATTTTCTGTGT